TATATGGAGGGGATCCATCTTTTCCTAGACCATTGAATCAAAAGGGGATTTTCCCACTTCTTGATTTACCTTCTCTTTTCACCACACCTCCAAATTAGTCTTTTGGCCTAAGTTAGTTATTCAAACAAACCCAACTTCATGAGGATTATAGGTGAATGGATAAATAGTGGTCTCAATTGCAAAAAGTTTCTTCCAAAAAAAGGGATAAGGCTCAAAGGAGGTTCAAGCAATGTTCACACATCTTACAAGACTGGCCACAAAAGAGGTATATTGTCGAATTGTTTCACTCTTCAAAATCATTACCTAAGATCATTTCAAGAGCGTGCATCACTTAGTAAATCGGATTAACAGGGCAAGTTCTATTTATCATCACACAAGGTTCAATGTAAGCTTATCATAAAAGACATTAGCACCAATGTCAAACAAGACTCCACAGTTTCTCTAGTGTGCAATGTTCATCACGAGAGACTCATCCAATAATCATCTAGTCACAACGAGATACAAAAAGTCCACATATGATCTATTCAACTTCATTTGGCCTAATTGTAACCACACATTCATTTTTGTTTGATCAAGAGCACTATTCAAGTCATCAATATTGATCATAAGTAATACTCAAATTTGCACAACAATAACCATATTCAAACACTACAAGATGTGTCAACATTGTATTCTTTTAGCAGGATCATAACTAATTCTATTCAAAACAAGGAGTGATAAGCTCAAACATCCAAAATACAATAACAACAGATAAATCAAAACACAAAAACCCAATATATACAAGGGAAAATCCAAATACTACTAAAAAGTTCTTCCGACCGCAATTTTCCCCAATTGACATTTCTATCATGACTGGAACAAATCATTACATTTGATTAGTTTCGTTGGGATAAAATAAGACCACGTGTATATGGTGTATAAGCAATCCAAGAGAAATTTTCACAATTTTTTAAGCTAATGTACTCATCTGCACTTCGCGCGACATGAAATATATTTTTTAGATAACTAATTTCTTAAGTGACTATTTTTAAAAAACAGTGTATAAGAAAAAAAAATTACAAATCGAATCACGGTCTTAATGTTGTCTGCTCAAAAAATGCTAAAAAAAATTTAAATTGTAATTTTCATTTAATATTGTCGATAACATAACATATCTGAAAAATTTAGTTAATTGATTGTCGTAGTTTCTTATTAAATTCAATTAATTTTATTACAATAATATTAGTTCAACCAAAGTAATATCAAATTTAATTCATTATAAATTATATGACTTTGTGTGTGATGAATCACTTGATTTGTGATACAAATAATTTAAATATATTTGTAACGCATAAAAGTAAGAAAAATACTTGAATTATGTTTCAACATAGGTATCATAAGGAAATAAAAATCTTAAGTCCAACATCTCAAGAAAAATAAATTAAGTTGATTATATAATATCCTTTAAAAATAAATGGCACTTAGAGAGGACAAATAGTGCAATAAATAGTTGTACTCTAAGTAATGCAAGTTATACTGTATGTGGGCCTACTTCATTATACAAGTATTGCTTCATAACACATGTTTTTCTTTTCTAGATAACACGTATTCCATTTGCTACTTTTCGGAGACATATGTATGGCCACATTTGTTCATCAAACTCTATCACTTTTTCTTAGAAGAATTAAAAGCAGCTTTTGAAAGATTTTATGGTATGATAAAATTGGTCTTCCATGCTTTGAAATTTGATTTTTTTTCTTGATATTTATTTTATATGCCTGCAATTATGCTGTCTGGATCATTAATTTTGATTTTTAAAACATTTTTCATTGCCTATCTGCATCATGTTAAAGGAGAAATTCATGTGATTATTGTATTTGTGCTTTAATTGAATTTTTCAAAATTGTATTTTTTCAGGCACATGAATGCATGGTCAAACATGTACTTTGAACTATACTTTCCTGTTGGATATTCTTTTAGCATGTTATTAAATGTATGCTTTTCACACAAACACACTAATGTTGTTAATTCTTCCTTTTTTCCATCTTCATCCTCCGACATTTTTGTTCCGCTCTTTCTCTCTTGTTGGTCCATTTATGTCACTTTGGATCTATGAAATAGTTTCTAGCATGTAATTGTTTAATTTGTGCTTTTGTAAAGGAATTTATGATTTTAAACCAAAATTCAAAATTAAGTTTTTGAGAATTCATTCAATATGTCATTCAGTCTAAACCTACTGAAAATTCTCTAAATGCAAATTTTTTTTGAGTTCAACGAGAATAAACGAGTCAGAATTTGAAGTTACTTAACGGTATTGTTGGCGACTCTATTGGCCCTTAAATAGAAATGACATTTTGAGAGGACGAACAGTGCAATAAATAGTTGTACTCTAAGTAATGCAAGTTATACTGTATGTGGGCATACATCATTATACAAGTACTGCTTCATAACACATTTTTCTCTTTTCTAGATAACACGTGTTCCATTTGCTACTTTTTGAAGACACATGTATGGCCACATTTGTTCATCATCTCTATCACTTTTTCTTAGATGAATTAAAACCAGTTTCTGGAAGATTTTATGGTCTGATAAAATTGCTCTTTCGTGCTTTAAAATTTAAAATTTTTTCTTGAGATTCATATTATATGCCTGCAATTATGCTATCTGGATCATTAATTTTGATTTTAAAAACATTTTTCATTGCCTATCTGCATCATGTTAAAGGAGAAACTCATGTGATTATGTATTTGTGCGTTACTTGAATTTTTCAAAATTGTGATTTTTTCAGGCACATGAATGCATAGTCAGACATGTACTTTGAACTATACTTTCCTGTTGGATATTCTATTAGCATGTTATTAAGTGCATGTTTTTCACACTAACACACTAATGTTGTTTGATAATATGTCTTAAAGAACTGGACAATATTAATTCTTCCTAATTCTTCCTTTTTTCCATCTTCATCCTTCAACATTTTGTTCTTCTCTTTCTCTCTTCTTGGTCCATTTATGTCACTTTGCATCTATGAAATAGTTTCTTGCATGGAATTGTTTAATTTGTGCTTTTGTAAAGGAATATATTGTTTCAAACCCAAGATTAAGAATTAAGTTTTTGCAAATTCATTCAATATGTCATTCAGACTGAACCTATTAAAAATTCTCAAAATGCAAAAAAAAATCGAGTTCAATGAGAATAAACAAGTCAGAATTTGAAGTTACTTAATGGTATTGTTGGCGACTCTATTGCCCCTTACATAGAAATGACACTTTGAGAGGACGAACAGTGCATAAATAGTTGTACTCTAAGTAATGCAAGTATACTGTATGTGGGCCTACTTCATTATACAAGTACTGCTTTATAACATATGTTTCTCTTTTCTAGATAACACGTGTTCCATTTGCTACTTTTCGGAGACACATGTATGGCCACATTTATTCATCATCTCTATCCTTTTTCTTAGATGAATTAAAAGCAGCTTCTGGATGATTTTATGGTATGATAAAATTACTCTTCCATGCTTTAAAATTTGAATTTTTTTCTTGATATTTATTTTATATGCCTGCAATTATGCTACCTGGATCATTAATTTTGATTTTAAAAATATTTTCATTGCCTATTTGCATCATGTTAAAGGAGAAATTCATATGATTATGTATTTGTGCTTTACTTGAATTTTGCAAAATTGTAATTTTTTTCAGGCTCATGAATGCATGGTCAGACATGTACTTTGAACTATACTTTCCTATTGGATATTCTATTAGCATGATATTAAGTGCATGCTTTTCACACGAACACACTAATGTTGTTTGATAATATGTCTTAAAGAACCGGACACTATTAATTCTATCTAATTCTTCCTTTTTTCCATCTTCATCCTTCGACATTTTGTTCTTCTCGTTCTCTCTTCTTGGTCCATTTATGTCACGTTGCGTCTACGAAATAGTTTCTTGCATATAATTGTTTAATTGTGCTTTTGTAATGGAATTTATGGTTTTAAAACCAAGATTCAAAATTAAGTTTTTGAGAATTTTTTCAACATGTCATTTGCACTAAACCTATTGAATGTTCTCTAAATTCAAAAAAAATTTGAGTTCAATGAGAATAAACAAGTCGGAATTTGAAGTTACTAGATAGTATTGTTGGCGACTTTATTGCTTAGTGAGCAATGAGATTTTCACTTCTCGACAAATAATATAGGCTTTCTTTTTCATTTTAGAGATACTATAGAACATTGCTTAAGATGATTGGAATAGCTCGATATAGATTTAACAATTATCTTAATATCTTCTCCTTTGGCACATTACAAAATAAATTACGCATGATTCTGTATTTCAGATAGGAATATAATTCATTTGTTCTTATATGTTATGAAGCTCAACATTGTTTAGTTTGCGATCACCAAGTTCTGAGACATTAATGTTCTCTTTTTCACTTGATCTTATAGTTCCTTTTTACACGTTAAAGTGGAAAAGTGAAAAGACATCAACACCCCTTCAGAGAATGAAAAATGTATAATCGAAGGCAAAAAGGTCCTAACATTTTCAGTTCTGTATCTTTTACCTGAATTATACAGGAAAGTAACAACAAAACATTCCATGGTGATTATTTTGAATGTGGCTCTCCATATGGTATTACAATTTAGAACTGCTTTGGATTGCATTATTTGTAAATTTTGTTCACGGAATGTTCAGCCACTTACAATAGTGGTGATATATCTTTAGCCACTTATGATAGAAATTATACTCTTTTACATGTAGGATTATACTATGAAGTTACTTTGCTTTTTTCAGGCTTTCCATAGTCAAGTTTATCTACCTCAGATACCAGAAAGTACAACCTTTATCAATCGACGTAAGTTTCCTTCTTCTATATGTTTCGTTGTATGTATAATTTCTTAAAGATTGAGTTTTTGCATAGTACAAGGTTATAAAGAAGACATCATTATTTCCTAAATTCCCTTAAAAGGAACATGAAAAATGAAAAATGGAATGTAAGATTTTAAGATTTATACAAATTTCAGTAGGAGAAAACATGTACTGCATTCTTTCCTAAATCTTACGCTGCCCCGATACGTAAGAACTACCATTCCTTTTAAATATTTTCTCGTCCATTACTACATAGAACTTCCTCTGTTTTAATTTGTTTGTCCTTTTTTTTGGCCTTTTCAAAAAGAATGTTTCTTAATGTTGTCCAGCAAAATACTTGATCCCTTTGATATTTGTTGTGTACTTCAAGCTCTTGATGAAATATCCAACTATCCAACCAAATAGAGATAAAGATAGAGAACTAGCCATAGTAATTTTATTACTTTAAAAGACAAACGATTGTATTCTACAACATAAAATGTCAAAAAATAAATGAATGGACTAACATAAAAAATGAGTTAGGTGTGTAGTTCTTCTGTTGGATTACCTCTTGGTAGATTGTACTAATTAGAAACCTTTGGCTAAGCCAGATTTGAACCTTTTCCATTTTCTTTTTTGACATTTTCAGTGTTTCATATGACTTTTTTTTGTTTAAACAATATGTGCAATCTCTCAACCTTCATAAGGTAGGGCAAGACTTACTTCTTCCTTAGCAGGAAAACACTTTGCTAATAATAAAGTCATCGTCAACCTCATTTGAAGTTCGTTTATATATGTAGGAATTGGATTAAGGGTTTTATTTAATTTTTCATTATGTTGAATGAGAAGACAGAATGAAAATAAACATTTCAAGACAAACCCAACCGTCGAATATTGTAAAACAAATTTGGAGTTAAACCATAGGTGATAAGTACATATGTCCTTCATTTAACTTGAATTTTATCAACATTCCACTATCACCTAATCACATCTAAGCTAGAACCAATAGGAGACAAAAAGGTTATTGAATATATTATACTCTTTTTTATTTAAGACTCTGTTATCCTTTCTTGCTCCCAAATCAATCTATTGATCGAAAGTATTGTACCTACTAAGCTTATCAATTATATAATATAAACATCTCACCAGGTTTGTTAGGTTAAACGATGGATACCAAGCTAGAGTTTCATTATTTATAGGCGTCGTTTATGTGGAAATTTATAAAAAGAGGAATAATAGGTTGCAGCAAATCTCCTGGCATCTTTAATTTTTCTAACCCATCAAACTTTAAGTTAAGCGGTTAGTGAAAGTGTTTTTTATATCCCAATAGTTGGATAACACTTCACCTTTAGATTCAACTTTTAGAAGTGACTTAAGTTCTCTTATAGTATTGTATAGTATTTGAATAACATATTTGGATTAAAGAATTTTAATATGGCTGGGAAGAAATAACTTGACATCATTAATTTTGTCATATTCATAATAATGACAATTCTGAAATTGACATAATGATTATACAATAGGGCGATTGTTGATGATTGAGAAAGATTAAGTAACCCTCACTTATACAAAATTACCTAGTGGTTAAGTTTGATCATGAGCTCAAATAAGGATGATTCAATAATTTTATGTTGAAATCGCCATAGCAAGTTTTTTCTCTCTTGATTCTCATTTTGCTGCATATAATGAAAGTATGCAGTTATAGATATACCTCAACTCTTAAAAAGTCTTTCAATTTAATCTTTAGTGGCCATTTTTCTGCATCATGCACATTCACAACAAAAGAGAAACTTATGTTATCTTTAGAAAGCGGGTAAACGTCAAACAACTATGAATCTAAAGAGGCGCTTCAGATTCATTGACAAAAAAATTACCACAAAATGGTAAAACTATCCTATGAGCGATAACTTTCAATAATTTTATAGGAGTTGGTCAGACTTGGTGATTGGCAGCTGGGTTATGGCTTGTAGAATCTCTTTGCAAACGCGCGATAGCAGAATGCCTCCCCGATGCAAAAAGAACTTCAACTGCTGACTTTCCTAAAAAAGTAATATCAATTTGAAATTTAAAAAGAACAAAGACACAACAAAAGAAAGATCAAAAATTATAACAAAGAAGTGAGATTTACAATTGTAAGGACCAGGCGAATGAAACAGATCACAAGATGTAAAAGTATTCATGGATAAAAAAGGAATTACAAATAGAAGATCATGACAATAGCCACCACATTTTGCCTAGAAAGAAGCACAATGACAATGAAAAAATTATACGTATTCAACATAATCTACAAATGAATCAAGCTTACACTTAATATAAACAATTACATAATCTCTGCAATGCCTCAAGTATTCTGCTCATGTTAGCTCCTTCAACTTCAAGCATCTGCTGTAATTATTTGTATTGTGTGGAATGTATTATTTTGGAATTGCGGGTTACAAATACTCGGTAAGTAATGCTGGTAAACTGATTCATGCATACGTTTGTTACTGGTTTCCTTCATATTTTAATGATATTGGTCTTTGGGAAACAACCACTTTACCTCCAAAGATATTGAGTAAGGGGTACATACCACCCTGTCTATACCACACTTGTGGGATTACATCAAGTATGTTCTTGACTTTCATAAGCTAATTTTTATAATAATATTTTTTCTTGAAAAAAAAAGCTGATCTTGGGGAGAAAGTTACTGAAGGAAAATGAAGAAAATTACTAGAATACATGTGTAGATAACGTATTTTTGGAACGTGGCTGATGGAGAAAGTCATGGCTACAAAAGAGGAGCAGAAAAAAGAGTAAGAAAAACAGGAAAAAAGGAGAACTAAAGGAGAAAAAAGAGATTTTTGTGCTAAATATTGTATGCTTTGATATCTATTGCTTCGAAAGAACTAATGGACCATTTGCCATTGCTGAATTTATCTTTTCAATGGTTCAGTTCAATTCCTTTGAATTTGAAAATGATATAGTTTTACAATAGTTTCCTAATTATCTCCTTTTTCTCCTACTTTGTGCTTGCCATCTACAGGAAGAAACACTTTGCTTGGAATTTTTCACTAACGGAAAGAAAGCCCTCGTTATAATGCATTCACTATTAGCTGACATTTGCTCTATTTTTGGGGATTCTCTATTTTTCCCTAGTTTTGCTTGTTGAAGATGTGACATGTCTTCTATGGGACTTCATGCCCCTTTCTCTGTTGAGGATTTGATGCACAACGACCCTTACTGAAAAAGAGACGTATCATTTGTGATTAATTTTTTGTTTGTTGTTGGTCATTACACTTGTTGATTTTTAAAGTATTTTTTCAGTTTCTTATGAATTGTTGTATGTGGCAGTTGCTTGCATGGCTGCAGCACGGTCGCAAGAGGGTATTTTGCACTGAAATATTATGGGATCTGCTTTGTTGATTACCAAATATGGGATGCAATAATCATTGATTCTAAGTTGGCAAATTATTTCAATCCTGTATAAGAGCATCCTTTGTCAAGTCAAGTTGTCACATTTTGGTAAAGGGCTTCAGAACTTCTACTAAGTGCTACAAATTATGAAATAGATATTGATCTTTGGAGTGCAAGTCACCTCATGGTTGAATTGTTTGTAGGTTAGCCAATTCTGCCTAGTCTAGAGCTTAGACATTTCCTTTCCATTTAATAAACATAAGTTTTTCGACAATGATATATGCTCAGATCATTCACATTTGAAGTCCCTAATAATGTAAAATACTCATCCATGAATTTGGCTTAAATTGCAGGAAAAGCTAAATGGACTATGAGTGGAGTTTTGGGTGTTGTAAAAGAAAATACAATGAAAATATTCATTAGTGACAGGTACGTAATATGTATTTTTATATTCAAATTTTGTGTAGGGTTATATCATATGTTTCAAGTATTTAGTTTGTTACCATGTCTAACATTTGCTGATTGTAAGTAACAGCGCTCTCTGCTTTTGTGTATTTGATGTGTCCTAATTAGAAAGAGAGAGTTCATATATTTTTAAAGAAGAGACTCAACTAGACCTTGAGTCATCATATTCTTTAAAAGCACAACTGATAGGCTATAACCTTATAAGAAGTTTTCCTTGGTAATTTTGAGAAGACATAGTGTGTGTGTGTATATATATATATATATATATCCTAAAACACTTCCACCGGGTCTTCCATTTTAGGTGTTATGTCCCTTTTCATTTCGGAGGAAATATGGAAATACGCTTAGTGAAGTTCATGAAGTGATTTACCTTGGACATCATAAGAACCTATATGATCAAGATCAAAGAGCTGCAGTTATGCTCCAACAATGACGTTCTATGGACTGCTTCAATTGGATGGCGCCTAATCACCGTCCAGATGGATGGACGATTTTAGACAAATAATTGTTTCAGATTGAAAAAGGATTTGCATTAAATCATAGAGATATTTTTTTTCTATACTCAAGTTTGCATATAACAAATTCCTTTTTTGTATGCTGTCAAAAATAACTTTGTAAATATAATTATGTTGGGCCCGTGCTCATATCCATCTAGTTATCTTGGAGATCATACTTTGTAATAGTAAATAAAAGAGTTGAGAAACATAACATAAAAGAATGTATATTTATAAAAAAAAATCATAATGTCATTACTAATTTGATGAGTTACTTATTTTTTTGATTATATTAAATTATAAAGAATGAAAATTTCAAAAATACATTAAGTGTTAGTTATAGAAAAGTACAAGGAGTTAAATCAACATTTTTCTCTAATACATGTGGAGTAGTGAAAGAGTTTTATAACGTTAAGCTAATTATTATTCTAGTCATCACTAAGAAAACTAATGTATGACAATAATATAACTATCAAAAGACAACTCCTTCTAAAAGTTGAAATAAAATTGGAAAATTAAGATAAATTATATTTGATTTACCTAATTATAAGTTAAATACACATTAATCGCATAAATGAGGGAATTTAAAGTTTTCTTTTATACAATAAATAAAAGAAGTTAATAGTTGTGAGAAATGTATCATGGGTAATATTATATCTTTCAATCGTAAAAAAATAAAATATTAATAAGAAATTGATAAATATATATACAAAAAATGAAATCGTATAACTTATTAAATGTAATGTGTTTTAATTAGATGGGTTCTTTTTGTATTGGGTCGGGCGGGTTTAATAAGTATTGTGGTGGCTTTAGCTAAAAATGAGTGAGTTTAAAATTAAATTAAATAATTAATTTGCAATTAATGGTTGAACACCACGTAATTAAAATAATTATTTAACTATTTTAAATGGTGCTCCATCAATGAAGTGGATAAAATTGGACCTGAAGGTGGATGTGTATGGTATTTTGGAGCTAATATGTGGATGATGGGTAATTGTGGATCATTTTCAATACTTCAAGGGTATTTTAAGCCCTTTTCCATTTAATTTATGAACAACATCACCTTTGGTCTTTTAGTTTCTACCTCATCTTTGTAGAATTGTAGTCTTCTCATTTTCAGGCCGCATATATATCACATAGTTGTTGTCTAATGAAAGTATCTAGAATATTATTAATTTTTATTGTGATAAAATATATTAAAATTTTTCAATAAGAAAAAGTAATAGATGAATAAAATTTAGAGTGTTCTTTATAGAATATTTAATTTGAATAAGATTATTGTGTCATCAATCACTATTTTCTTATCTATTTTTATAAAGCTAATAAGAAGTGTATCTTGTGATATAATTTTTCTGAAATTAAAATGAACACAAAATAATAGGGAAAAATATATAGAGCAATACATAGCTAATGAAGAAGGAATACAAAAATATTTTAATGCTATATTCACTATAGTGTTCCATTTGATAAAATCTCTTGTTACAAATGCTTTACTTTCTTCTTTCATTTTTCTTACATATCTATTAAAAATAATTATTATCATGTCTATATTATCATATTAGAAGTTAAAGTAAAAATCTATTTTTGAAATAGTGGATTTACTATAAAAACTATTGATTCAATGGACAACGTTGATGACCGTTATTTTAACAAAATTAAAAAGAAACTGCTCCATTTCATGGTAAAAAAAGAAAAGACAAAAAATGAAAGAAGAAATATTTGACCAGGTAACATTTTTCATATTTGTATATTATTGTCTTTCCCACAACTTTTCGGCTTATTAACTCCTGAAAATCATAAGAAAAAATACGCGTATGAATTTATGAATGATTTGTGATAGTTTGTTCACTAGCTCTTTCTTATGTGGGTTTTCGAATTTCGTTGAATTTTTTACTAACTTAACTGTCACAAATAACCCTGAGATTTTTTAAGAAGAAGAAGAATATAAAACTTTCAAAAATCGTAGTTTAAAAGTGGGAGGAAACTCTATATTTATAGCTAACAAATAGAAGTATGCATAGGCGTTAATTGTTCCTTATGAGAAAAGTTACAATTCATCAAAAAAATCACAACCTTTTACAAAAGTCACAACTCATCGGAAAAGTCACAACCCTTTGAAAAAATCAAAACCCTTTACAAAAGTTACAATCATCGAAAATATCAGAACCCTTTTAAAAAGTCTCAACCATTTGAAAAAGTCACATCTCACCGAGAAAATCTCAACCCTTTAATATGAAAGGATATCTACATTTAATATAATATAATTAATTAATTTAATAAATAAATTTTATGAAATATTTTTAATTGAGAATATAATAGTAATTCAACATTCTTTTTAGAAGTTCATGCGTTTAAGGTAGTATAGAAAGTTACAAGTCATCTGAAAAGTCACAATCTTTTACAAAATTCGCAACTCATCGGAAAAGTCACAACCCTTTGAAAAAATCACAACACTTAGGAAAAGTCACAACTCATTGAAAATATCAAAAGAGTCAAAAAAGTCACAACTCTTTGAAAAAGTCACATCTCTTTGAGAAAATCTCAAGACTTTAACATGAAAGAGTATCTACATTTAATATAATATAATCTAAATAATTGATTTAATAAATCAAATAAATTGAGTATTTGTAATTGGGGTATTATAGTAATTCAACATGCTTTTAAGGTAGTATAGAAAGTTACAACTCATCGAAAAAAATCACAACCTTTTGGAAAATTCACAACTCATCGAAAAAGTCACAACTTATCGAAAAAGTCATAACCCTTTGAAAAAATCACAGTCATCGAAAATGTCAAAATCCGTAAAAGAAAAAATTGCAATCTTTTGAAAAGTCACAACTCTTTGAGAAAATATCAACCCTTTAATATTAAAGGGTATCTACGTTTAATTTTATATAATGTAAATAACTAATTTAATAAATAAAATAAATTGAGTATTTTTAATTGGGGTTATATATATATATATATATATATATATATATATATATATATATATATATATAAGTATATTTTATGTATATTCAAAAATTATCTAAAAATATTTTTTTGTTGTTGAATATTTTATAAATTAGTTTACCTTAAGTTGGCATATATTCTCTAGTTATTGGTTTATAATTAAGTGAATTATTTTATTTCGTTAAAATTAAAAAGTTCGTTCATTAATTAATATTAATTCATCTAAATTAAACTAAATTTGGATAAATGTTTAAGCTCCAATTAGCTATATTAGGTCATCTCTCTAATTGTAATCCTAATCATTTTATTGCCTCCAATCTTGGACCCAATTCTTTCGACCCATTTTGTTTGCTCCCAATTAAACATTGGAAAAATTAGCAAACTAGTCCAAAAAAACTAAACATATTTATTAAAAAGCTCCCTATTTTAAAAATAATAGTAAAAATTGTCCTAACTTAGCTTTAGCTGTAAGTGTCATCTTTTAGCATGTATTATTTATTAAATAGGTTAGATAGTATATGTATTGTCAACGACTTTAAAAGTGCTAATGTTAGTTTAAGTAACTTATAATGAAATTCAAATATTTTAATTAAGGTCCGCGTTTTTTCTTAAAAAAATAAAAGTGTTGTTTAACTATTGTTGCAAGTTAATATTTGAAGTTATTTTATAATTATTTTCCTAAAAAATAGTTAAAATATATTTTGTTCAAGTCGTAGGATAACTGCATGTTTGCGGGCGCGTCAAGTGCCTTAAAAACCTTCTTGAAACATAAATTAGAGCCTCTTACCCATTTTCTCTATATTTTTAAGACTTAATCAGTTAGAGTCTTTTTAAAATAAGGTTTCTTTAAAGAAATTAAGTGGCGACTCATTCTATGTATTTTTCTCAAATTTTTTTTATACTTAGAACATTTCAAAAAGTGATTTTCTAAATATATTAAAATTACGGCATAACAGAAAGACGACTTTGTTGGAGACTTTAATTAGATTCTAACCATAAATGAATTGAATTTTTTACTCTTTACTAATATTTGTTGAACTGTTTCGCCTCATATGTGCCTTATTTACTTTAATTGATATTAACTGTAATTGCATGCATCATTATTCCGTCAATGCCATTGTTTAATTTCACTTGATGGATGATTATGAGGGTCGTAGTTGTTCGTTAATCAAATTGTTCTCGAGGTACCCTGGAGAATGTAGTTGGTCAATGGATGGTCAACGATCGCTAACTGCCCCAACCCAATTTGTCCGCTTGGGTCACAACTCCACTTTAAATAAAACACACTCTTAGTCAACTAGCGTAGAACGAAACCAAATTCCCTTTTAGCGTATTGAACTAATATGACCCAACATCTAAGACGTGTTTGGCCCATTAGAAAGACCACATTAATTTCGATATGTCTCACGGCCTAAACAAATGTTCATACATATGTGTTTAAATTTAAAGGTTGTATATGTCATTTGACACACCATTATTCCTCAGGGTTGGGAGTTTGATAGTTTGTTCTAGTCGAAAAAGGAATATACAAGTTGCTTTTCATCCAAAAGTGTGGACCTCCAGAGATGACAAGAAATCAATAAAGAAGAAAAACCTTCCATTAAGGAATAGTTTAGGATCGTACCCCTGCGTGGGATTGATTATTTCTATCTTTTTTCCCTATTATGTATCCCCATTCAGTCTATTCGTTAAGTTTGTATAGATTTGGATTTTGAGGCAATGAAATGTCAAATGATGTTAGGCATCCTTCAAATCGTTTGGCCTATCCTTGGCATAAAAGGGTAACATATATGTGTAGAATTTGCAATAATTGTTTATGTGTTATCACTGCAAATGTGAATATGTTGTTTTGTTTGAAGATGTTAGAATACTTCTCTTCGAAATCTTCTAGAACTATTTAAGCACAAATATGAAGTCACTCTCAAAAGTGCCTTCAAATAATTTTTGAGTCCTTAGTTTCTCAAAAAAATTTAAACTTCTTTTTTTGCATCTCACTTTCAGGAAAAAAAAAAGGGGGGGGGGGGCAAACGCTCTATCTCAAATTAAAAGAGATTCAAGTTGGTCGAACAGTGTAAGAGCTAAATTCTTTTTTGAGAGATACACAGGCAGTCTCTCAAGGTTCGGTCCCCATATTTAAGAATTCTATCTTTCCAATCTTATAATGAAATTAGAGTGACATCTCAATCAAAAATTAAAAGTACAACA